AGGAGGGGCAACGGAGCACGCCAGGGTTGGCCGGCGGGGGGGGGGGCGGCCCCTTCTACAGGACACAGAAGCGATCTGGCGACAGGTAGGTCACCAGAATCGCTTCTGTTGTAAAGCCGACAGCTGTTTAAACAGGCCCGATGCTGGCGACGTACACTGTACGTCGTCAGTCACGAAGGGGCTAAAGTCCCCGCATACATGCATATACTACCCCAATAAGCGTCGGTTACATGCAAAAACAACAATTACACCACAAATATCGGAGTGTGAGCAATAATTCTGGAGCCATCAAGCACTGTTGACACTAAATTGTTGAGCGTTAAATGCTTCTAACCCTTTCCCTGCCACTGACGTAAGGCTTACAGCGGAACACAACCGCTTGCAGGTGGCCACGTCAGTAAGCCTTATGTCGTTGTCTTTCACCCTTCTGCTATAAGCTCATGGCTACATCAGAAGGGTTCTCTGATGGTTCTCTATAAATTAATAGCTGTCATGACCGCTATTAACAAAAATTCCAGCCCCCCTCCCTCCAGCCACTGCAGCCTCCCTCCCTGTCCTCCCCGCCTGGGGCCGCTCCAAGCTTCGATTTGTTTCCCCTCGGATCCCCACTGCTCTCCCGCGCCTGTATGGGCTGAGGCAGCAGGGACCCGAGGAGAAATGGACCTCTGCAGCCGGTGGGGGGCGGAGCGGAGGAGGGTGCGCTGACTGTCAGGATGGCCGAGCGGTGAGAAGAGAGGAGCTGGCAGGATGGCTGAGCAGTGAGGAACAGGAGGTGCTTTACATCACTTCTGTTCATTCAGGAGTTTCTGAATGGGTAGAAACAGCGCAGCACAGAGGCTTCTATCCATTCATAACTGGTTGATAGTAAATATTTACTATCACCAGTTTGGGCTGCTGAAAAAGAGATTGAGGACTCTGTGTCCTTAATCTTTTTTTTTTTTCTATTTCAAAAGGGAAATGTCAGGGGGTATATTATATGCATGCAACAGTGTGCACTATATTGTTGTGTACACCATGCACATGTGCTGTGGTGCGTTGTTAGAATGCATGGCAGTGCTTGATTTTTTTTTTCTTTTCAAAACAGCATTAATTCAACTACGTGGCAGCGCATGGCAAAGCGTTGTGATGCATTGTTGTGCATTGTAACACGCTGTGTTGCAATTAAATGTGCCATTTTATCACAACACACACACCAACACAGCACAAACGATTTTTAACAAAAGTTGCTTATTTAAAGTTTTGCGTTCCTTCATTTTTTAACCATTTCTAAATGTGTTATTTATTAACTTAATACAGTATTATCGCAGGACCTACAAAATTAGTAGCACCATCTTTGTATTCTACCAGGCCTGTGTGTTCATAAAATATATAGTTTTTACAGACTAACTCTAAAAACTGCAGTTGAAAATAAAAAAAAATAAGGTGAAACATTGCAAAAATGGTGTGGCCAGCGAAGGTTAAAAGCATTCTAGGGGGCTTGGTAGCTAAAGGGTAAAGTGTTGCATATCGCCAATTTTGGGTTTATATGTTTTATTTTGCAATTTCATGGGTGCACGCAATTTTAAGGCTTGACATGTTTGGTATCTTTTTACCCGACAGAACTCCATCTTTTATATTTTACCAAAAAATTGGCTAATTAATGTTTCATAACAGGGAAAACAGGTTTTTATAATTTTCAGTATTTTTTTCTTTATATAGTAAAAAAATAGAAAACCCAGTGGTGATTAAATACCACCAAAAGAAAGCTCTATCTGTCCCCCCCAAAAAATATAAAAATTCATATTTAGGTAGAGCTTTGTATGATGGAATAAATGTCAGTTACCTCAGTGCTGAATACTGAAAAATGGCCTGGACAGGAAGGGGGTTTAGCACTCCGGTCTTCAAGTGGTTAGTTTAGTGGCATGGAACAATTGATTTGCACTCTACTGATGGGTGTCTAGAGACATTTAATTATTTGTGTGAAGCAAAATTTGTTGTGTACCTCTAACTCGATTTTACTGCATACACTTTGTTGGGAAGGCACCGTGAAGTCAATGTCAGCACAAACTATTTGCATGTGGCCAGATTAATTGAATCACTAGTCTTATCTCCCAATGTCATTAAATTGTTAGTTGAGGTAGCCTAAAGGTGGCCATACACTGTACAACCATCGCAAGACCTTAGTCTTGCGATGGTTGTAAAGGGATTAAAAAAACGTACGATCTGCCCATCTTGGACGGGCAGATCGCACTCTCGATCATCGCAAGCCACGCCCCCAGAGGGGCGGGCTTGCGATGACTGTAATGAGGGGCGGGCTTACGCTGACTGCAAACGGGCAGTGTGCGCGTGCGCACACCGGCCCGTTCGGCAGTTGTCGAACTAGCAGGCCACCAACTCGCCGAGAATCGTACGATTCCCGGCGGGTTTTCAAACATGCTGGTTCGATGGAAGACGTGCGACCGTACAGTAGAATCGGTCGCATGCCTTCCATACACTGCACGATTCTCGTACGATCGCGGGATTTCCCGCGATTCTCGTACGAGAATCGTGCAGTGTATGGGCACCTTTACTGTGGGCAGGATCAGTTAAGTAGGAACCAATGAAGTCAGACATAAGATCTCCTTCATTTACAAAATATCTGCCCACACTGCCTGCAAATGAAAAGGCTTTCCGTCCCGCCCCCTATTGAATTGCTTTGAATCATAGGCTTGTTGTCTGTGTGTATTTTACTGGGGTGTTTATCTTTGTATATGCATGGTTGTGAATTTCTATTCAGACACTCTTACCATTCACATAATCAGGAGATTTCACCGCTAATTTATGCGCACAGCTGCATCTCCTTTGTTTGATGTAGTCACTGTCATTTAAATAGGTTTGTAAATATTCCGTATAAATTCTTTAATTATCTAAACTAAATGAAGAAAGAGAAGTCTGCCAGCAGCTGCATATATTTGCTGGGTATTAATTTAAATCAGGCACGGATTAGTGTTTTTTGGCCAGTCATCTCAGAGGAGAGAAAATTCTCTTGAAGTTGTTGACTGTGTAAATGGTAAAAATCTTTGCATGCTATAAATATTAAAGTGCCCTTTGTGTTTTCACAGTATTGCAATGGCAACAAAAGAAAACATGACATCACAGAGGGGAATTTTGAAATCCATACAGAGCCGAATGAATACCTTGGCCAGTATCCTTAAATAATGCTTTGTGGTAAATTGTCATACTGTATACTTCCACATTTTAACATTTGTTTTCTAAACAACTTGAGGTAAGTACAATCCAAGGTATATTAATCAAGTAAGTTTTCTTAGTTCATAGTTCTCTTCAGGGTCACGGGAGGACATATACTAGCGTCCTCCCGTGACACAAAGCTCAGTATATTGCGAGCTACAGCTCGTGGTATACTGAGACTGCCGCAGCCGGGACGGATCCCAACATTACTGTCGAGATCCACCCAGCTGCGTGAGTGACAACTGGCTCTGCTTATCTAGAGGCAGAGCCAGCTGTGCCCTCCCCCGTCCGTTTCTCCAGTCAGCGGTGGAGGATCGGAACGGGGGGGAATCCTTGCAGGGAGCCGTGACTGACTCTGCAGGGAGATGATCGAGAAGTGATTGAGCGACGGTATGTGTTCGCTCACTTCCCGATCTATTGAGCCGACGTGTGACAGTTTCATTGTCACACGTCGGCTCAAACTATGAGAATGTGATTTTCAATCACCTCATAGTTCTCCTTTAATTGCAGACCTGAAAGAAGAATTGATATGGCATATGTATCTAGAACCCTCCTTTTCTCCAACGCTCTAGACATCTTGGGGGATCCAATCTATATGACTTTACCTGTGGCCTTAGCACTAAACATTATTTTGTATCACCTTTACATGCAGTTTCTCTTTATATTAAAGCTTCTTGTAAGCCTCATTGTATGAAGGGGTGATAAGAAACCTGGAACAATGTACAGAGGTACCGGGTACAAATACATAAACATAATGCCAGCATGACGTTATTGTAATTGCAAAAGGGCACTGCAGATCAGAAATGAAATGGTTCCATGCTCTGAATGATCTGTGATTTTTTGATTTATTTGTTTTTTGTGTGTTTAATACAACAAGATCAGCTGAACTTTTGAAAATCATGTTTCTGTTTTTATAACCCCCATGTAGCATATTTGTTTTATATAAATGGGTGTATGTGGTTTTAGTGAGTTTCCTTTCCTTCTTTCACATCAGAGCAAAATTTTGTTGAAATTCCTACTGTACTCTAAAATAATTGGCCCTCATAATTGGTTTGAAAGGATCTGCCTTTCTTCCCTGTTTTAGTTCTCTGGAGATTAGATTTTTACTATGTAAACATGTGGGGTCACTTTATGATGTTTTGTTAATGACTTTCTCTCGAAGATATTTCCCTCATTTGTGTCTATGTACATTAAAAACTGCTGAGACTCTTAACAGTACAGGGCCATCTGTGGTGATGTCCTGATTTCTGAACTTGCTGAAAAACTCCTTCTGTTTCACTACCTTGCATTATAATAATACATTTGTCAGAAAAGAAAAGCTATAGTTTAAATATATAATATGATCTTTGTGATTTCTCTTTTATTATGCCTGCTTTTTTCCTCTCCTCTTAGGTTTAACGAATGGTGAGCTTGTGCAGACAGATCAATGGAGAGGTGTCATAGGTTTAATTACACAGTAATGAGTGTAGATCCAGGAAAAGTGCTTAATATTTCAGGAGCTGCATTGCTGGCTCCATTCTTCCCTCTCATTTTTCCTTGCCGCTGGGAGTATGCTGGAAGCACATTAGTGTTTGTATATGTTCTTTGAGAAGGCATACTGGCATAGTACACAATAACAAGGAAATAAGTGAACTTGGATGCTGGATGACATTTTTTTTTAAATACATGGCTTATAAACTGTTACTTGATCTTTTATCTTACTCATAATGAACAGAGTCTTAGGGCATGTATCGATGGGCAAAAACAGCTTGCTTTCAGTTGTATTTTTTGAGATTTCGGTTTTAAATTCTTCTGAGACCATTGAGTTCATTGAGGGGTGCATTTAACATGCAGTTGATCTCCCAACCTGCATTTGACTCCTATTTTGCATCATCGTGTTTCAAGCTGCCTTTGTATTTCCCTTATCTTGTATGGGGAGGTAAGCTGTTCTGACAGGAACTAGATGCCATTAAGGTATTTTACACATTGAACACATGATGAATCATTGTCAGAATATGAGGGAAGCAGTGGATAGCAGTAATATCCCATCAGGGGTTCTAATTCTTACCCACTATATCCACAACTAAATTAAAACAATTTGGCTGGACCTGCAATTTTAATAGTTATCATTCTCCCCTTTTGGCAGGATACAGGTATGATAGTATTTTTGGGGTTTGTTTTCTCCAAACATATAGTTAAGATGTAAGTTTGACTTCTGTCCTCAGATCATCTGTGGAAAAACTTAGTGTCCTTTAGCACTTATTGATAGAGCTGCAGAAATGCACAATTTCTTCCAACCCCCCCCCATTTCACTGGAACACGAATTGGAACATGGTACTGCAGTCTCAAGTTACTTCATTTTTAAAATTTTATTATCCTAGGATTTCATATTCTTTTTCTATTTCTGATCTTGATTGTTTAACCATTATTCAATAAAGATATGCCAATGTAAAACGGTGTGTATGTTTGTTAAAAAAAGGTTTCATTATTATGGCTTGCATCCTCATCTGTCACATTTTAGAAGCCATTCACGTAGAAAACCAAATGCAACATTTCTTAAAGCTCCTGAAACGTTCTCATGTTCTATGTGTTTATGTATAAATCTATAAATGTGTCTTAAGGTATAATATTTTCTGTGCTACACTCATCTTCATGCATTCAGTTGTTTCCCTTAATTAATTTACACAGATCGATTTCCTGCAGTCAACAGCCTCATCCAAAGGATTAACTTAAGGAAGCGCCGTGATTCACTCATTCTGGGCTCTATAATTGGCATTTGCACTATCTTGTTGCTGGTCTATGCTTTCCATTGACAACAGACTCTGCCCAGACCTGAGGGAGCAGCTAAAGCAGAATGAAGAGACCAGTTAAAACTGCAGTTCTGCACACACCACCTGTACATAAGTGAACACGGGGTATGAAAGGAAAAAAAAAATGTACATTTTATATTGGCAATCTTAACTGCTGGCAGCATCCACGTGTGCTGGTCAGTAGCTGTACATACTCTAACCATTATGTATATCCATAGTGTATCTGATGAATACTAGTGGCTGATTGATATCTGTGTAATTTCAGACTTGGAAAGGGCACCTTTAGGGAACACTAAACAAAATCCGTATCATTTTATGTGACAGCTGCAAAAAAAAAAAAAGAGTAAACGTTAAAACTAAAAGCACCAGAGATATATCTGGGACCATAAGATCTTTTTAGCACTCGCAAAGTAATGGTTTTATTAACCCATTGATGAAGTTACTTCACATAGCCACAAAGGACAGTGCAACGTCTTGTTTAGGTGAATGCTACTTGGTTGGATGAGAAGGTGATCCATCGTTTAAAATCAGTGGTGGTAACAGTCATGTCATTGAAGTGATATGCTGCAGTGTCATAAATATATACACATACAAATGACTGGCTTCACTATGTGTAGAAGCCGGGCACAGTTTTCTGTCATGCTGCAAAGACCTTCAAATTGATATTTCTGGATACAAATTGTGGCTGGTCATATTGAGTCCTTCTAGTTATAGGGATTTCACTGTAATTTTAGACTTGTGCCTGACATCAATTTACATAACCAAATGTACAGCGAATATGGTCTATATACAGTTCATTTTAAATTAAATTAATCATTTTTTTTTTTACATTTACTCCTTTTGAAAGAAAAAAAGGCTACTAACCTACTGTATGGTCTTATTTCTAATACAGTTGATATATCTAGTAAAATATAAATTTGGAGGAAATGAGTGCAACAAAAAAAGTTTCCAGATTTAGTACAACTTTTTCTAAATGGGCTTTATACATAAAAGTTAATACAAAACAAATCAGTCTCTTTTCATAAGTGACTGTATTTAAAGCCCCAAAAACGAATGAAGTCAGTGTAGATTAGTAAATAAAACAAATTTGATTTGCTAAGTAGTTGCCATGAGTAGTGTCCAGATCAATGTACAAACTAGGAGCTGAGGCAGCAGACATTGGGCCTTTTTAGGCTTCATCTGCATTTTATTACCTCTTATGCAGAACTGCTCCTGGCATTGTAAAGCGCTCCGGCATCACGCCTGCAATGTACATTGAGCTGCTCCTGGCATTCTAAAGTGAGCTGTCATCACGCCTGCAATGTACATTGAGCTGCTCCTAGCATTGTAAAGTGGTCCAGCAAGGCAGCTGCAATGTACATGGGATTGCAAAGTACATTGATCTGCTCCTGGCGTTGTAAATCTGGCATCACATCTGCAGTGTACATCAAACTGCAATGTACATTGAACTGCTCCTAGCAGCCTAAAGAGATCTGGCATCACATCTGCAGTGTACATTGAACTGCTCTTGGTATTAAGTGGTCCAGCATGGCACCTGCAATATACATGGAACTGCTGAACCTACATCCGTGCACTTGCCTTCTTCATCAGTATGCATTCATGCATGACTATGAATTTACAGACAAGCTGTTAGAAATCCATACACAACGTCAGTACAGCTCCTCCTATTATACAATTCCAGGACTCTACTGTTCTTTGGAAATATATTTTCTTTTTCTTGCATATTGGTTAATACAATAGCTAAGATCACATTACAACCTACAGCATGGCGTTTTGAGCTGCTGGTGCCTTCCCATCTGTGCATATTTTATACTATAGTGCCATGTCAAATATTGTATTTGCCAGTATGCAGTGAAAGGCATATTTCCAAAGAGCAATTGAGTCCTTATATTTCTCTTGGATTGATTAACATTGGCTTATTGATGTCGCTGTTCCTTGGTAGTTTTTTCACAATGTTTTGCTGTTTGGTATGTAAGGCTGTTTGTTGGCATGTTACTATTCCATATCAACAAACTAGTTACAGTGGTAGCTAATAGAAAAGATACATTGGATGTCTGGTTGCTGGCATTTTCTTTTACATCCTGATCACATGAGGAAAACATTTTTTATCATAGTGTATAAAGAGATAAAAGTTTAAATATCTGCCCTTTGCCAGCAAATCCCAACTGGATATTGTCAGTAAATATATTGGAGGACATTTCTAACATTTACATTCTTGTATTTTTCTTTTGCTTCTAATTGATATATTCTTCTTTAAAACAACATTTTGGATATGGGCTTAAAGAAAAGCATTCATTGAGGCAGCCCAGTAGACATAATACCTCTTAGCTCTTCCACTGTATGCAGTCACTATACACATTTAATAATTATAGCTGTAGCAAGCTGAGGAAATTTTTTAAGAGCTTTCTTCAGAGCCGTTAAAATTAAATTGGGATGGAGGACGAATCAATTTTCATTAGCTGTGCTTTAGAATGTACTTCCTGTTGTGATGTTGGAGTTGGTAATTGAGCTGGTGGATCACATTCACAACATAGTATCGGTGTTTGGTGCCACCAGCTAGTGACCGTACATACTCATACATCAGATTGCACCAGAATGAATGTAAATAGTTTGTGAAAAGTCTGGCTGCTTTCAGTTTACAAAAAATAGGATCATGTTTATTTCCTTTTATAAAAAGATTTCACATTATTTTGCCTTGAAATTGAAGTTACCACTTCATGTAACTTTATTAACACTTGAAGCCATAAAGAGAAGGCTCCACTCCAAGGTGTAAGATTGTATGTTTAAATCTACACAGCACCTCTTCAGCATGCACAGATGGCCCTTTAAATTTACACATTTTAGAAACCTTTAACCTCCTACACCAGCAGCCAAGAGAAAGGTACGTAGCTGACCGCTGAGTAGGACTGAAGCTGAGCATTCCAGGAAGTGTGTGCACAGGGTCAGGGACTCTCCTAACATATAAGCATATAAGCAGGCTCCTCGTGGTGCCAGTGGATTTTTTTTTTTACGTACCAGTGCTAGTGTGCAGTTAAAAAAAAACAAAAGTGACACAAACTAGCGGGTTCATTTTAAGGTTTCATAAATGACGAGTGTGTTGAGTGTGGCTTGGTTGGTTATTTGTATGTGTAGCATGTGTGCAAAGCACTGGGTGTACACTGAGGAGGACAGTTGGCTGGGAAGGGCTAAGAAATCCGCAGTTTGGACAAGCAGCATGTAAATGTAATCTACGTTGAGTGAAAATTTGCTGTTGTGTGGCCACCCATAGTAAGCAATCAGAAATCATTCTGTAGTTTATGGAGTCAGAACGACAGAAGTTGTTTTCTGATTTGTTGCTGTGAAATACTGCATTGCTTTATACAGCAAAGTGTGGTTAACCCATTATGACCAGATTTTAACCAACTCTATACAATCAGTGAACAGCTATAAAGTTATAAATTTCTGGCCTGATCCTTTTGATGTGTATTTTTTGTTCTTCGGTGTGCAGTGATCAGACCTTATCCAAGTGTCTGTGCCTTCAACCAGTGTATCCTGTGCAATAACTTTAGTACTGTACATGCTGGGTGAAGGGATAGTGCAATATGACATCATACAATGGGGTCTCGTGTCGGAATTTGTCAAGTCCCCTTAAGAAAAAAGTCCTATGGCTAGTACTTCCTCATGAAAGAAAAACTGTCCTAATAGCACTATGGGAGCTGCCATTGTTAGACTCTCCTTTTGAACATTCTTGTTCATCCTCTTGTTACAATATTATGAGTCACTGACCTGAAACAATCGTGCAGATTGGGAGTGTGACTTTCTTTGATGAGTATACTAGTATCCTGGTCAGGGACTCTCATTTTATGAAGAAAGTAAGCATTTGGTTTTCATGACGTACTTTTTTAGAAGCCCAAGAATTGTGTATTCCAGGAAGAAATGGACAAGTGACTTGATGAAGACAAATAATTATCTTATTACTTGCTTGCAATCACATGTCACTTCAATCCAAATGGGCATTTGCAGGTGGTTGTTTTTGAGCTATAACCAGTCTGGTGTCAGCTTTGACTTTCTGACCTGTACTGGAAAAGTGATGGTTGGCCACTGGGCAATGCCTCAATTTATTAAAGGAGAACTATGGGGTTAAGGCTTTTCCCCATAGTTCTCAGGGTAACGGGAGGACACAAACTAGCGTCCTCCCGTCACCCTAGCTGTAGCTCGCGGTATACTGAGACGCTGCAGTATACCGCGAGCTGCTGCTCGCGGTATACTAAGACGCCGCAGCTGAAGCGGATCCAGATATTGTCTGGATCCGCCCAGCTGCGTGACTGACAGCTGTACCCGCCCCCTCCCCTGTCCGTTCCACCAGTCAGCGCTGGTGGATCGGAGGGGGGAATCCAGCCCCTCCCCCTGTCACGGCAGAGAGCCATGACGGGATCGAGAGGTGAGCGAACGCCGGTATGTGTTCGCTCACCTCCCAATCTACTGAGCCGACCTGTGACAGTCTCATTGTCACAGGTCGGCTAGAACTATGAGGTGAGTGAAAAGCACTCACCTCATAGTTCTCCTTTAAGTTACCTCCATTATGAATCTGGTCTTTTCTAATGGTCTCACGATCACCATGTACAAATCACATGGAACACTGGATGTGGGCTAACATCAACCAATATGCATCATGTAAATTCTGTTTCTGATATAGCCAACAAAAAGTGATGCAGGGCTTTTTTTTTAATATTAGGGAGGCTGTCACAGATGTGGTGGTGAATGTGGTAGGAGAACCCTCCAGGGCTATTTAAACACAAAACCAGACCTGTTCCATGATCAGTAATGGCCCTAAGCTAATGTAAAGCCTAAGAATCCTAGACTGGAGGCTTCTATGTGAGACTTTTTGCTTTGTGACAGATTCTCTTTAAATTAGTGGCCAACATTGTGGATATTGAAATAGTAACATATTTTTAATTGGAAGTAAATATGCTTTTTAAACTAGCCCTTACTGAAATCTGTAGCTCCAGGAACTGTGGAGCAATTCATCCTAAAAGTCATTTAGGTCAGGTCTGCACACTGCTCTCTCCCCATTTTCTGTGCGCCTGCTTTGTGTTTACAATATAAATTAGAAAGCTGACAGGCTGCCAAGTCACTGGAGAGGGAAACGGAAGGAGCTGAGCTGCTGAAAACGAGTGTTTCTGCTGTAAAATTTGAGAATGAATTACTCTACTGAGCCCGCAGCTGCATAGGTTAGTGAGAGTTTAAACTCTCATTTACTGCTTGCTGAGACTATGTAAATATTGGAATATCCACGGCTTGGCTACAGTTAT